AAAAAAAAAAGAATTCTGAGGTCATATTCAGAAGCAGGCAGTGTGGATGCAGTCTATGGGTCTGTGACAGCTGCCTTTGGACACAATTGATAAACATCATTTTTGAGGGGTGGGGGAACATCTCAGATTCGGTTAGGAACTGAGCCCCATTAAAGACAGCAGAAATGTCGTCGTTTTGAAGCCAATTAGGAGGAGAAAAGGACTGGGGGCTAGTCTGGTTAATTGGTTGTCATCTTCCTGGCCTCATTAGATTCTCAGCTCCTAAGAGTCCTTATTAATGAACCTGAAGAAAAGGTTACCTATGGACCTACTAATGAAGAATATTTCAGGAATCTGGCAGTAATTGGGTGGGGTGCATTTGGGGTTATTCTGCTAAGCAAAAGAGGCCCTTGAGCTGGCTAGACCCATGAGTTGGTAACTTGAGTCAGAGTTCTCACACTCCGGGTACCTTTGAGATGACAGTAAAGACATCTCCTTGGCATGACACAAGAGCTCCCCCTGTTTGGCCCCCTATTGACTCATCTCTCACCACTTAGGATTTTCTGCTCTAAGGATAACAAACTGCTATGGCCCTTTTGGCATAGACCAAGGCTGATTTTGCCCCCTTATCTGTGCTGTATTCATGCTGTCTCCCCTGCCTGTTGTGCTATGCTAGACATGCCTGTGCTCACACATACACTCACAGTGACGTGTCTTTGTCTAGCTGATATCTGCTTAAGCATCAGCTTCTCCAAGAAACCTTCCCTGGTCTCCAGGCTTGGTTAGATGCTTTCTGTGTGCCCTGACAATCTACCCCGGCTTCCCTCCATTCCAACACTTATTACCCTGTAATATTGTCAGTGTGTCTATCTTCCACACAGACTAGGGGCTCCTCAAAGGTAGGGGCTGTGTCTGATTCACCTCACTGTCCCCAATGCCCAGCACAAGGTCTACCATGCTCATTGAGCTGAGCTTTCATGACCCACACTATCCATATCCCCTCAACCACACCCTCCTTGCTCGTTCCCACCTCCTTAATTCAACTATTCATTCCACCAACATTCACTAAGCACCTACTCTTCTAGCTGGTGCTGGGACTCAGAATGACATAGTTCCTGTTTGGGGAAGCTCCCTGTCTATATGGACTTCTGCCATGCAGTGTAAAAAGTGCTATGGCAGGAGGAAGCACAGAGGAGAATGAAGATACCATATGTAAGCTGAGTCCTGAAGAATGAGAAGAAGTTAGGTGAAGAGTTTTGCTTAATTCTTTTTAGTGTAATTTATTTGTGTATTCATTTATTTATTTATGGTCTGGAACACCTGACCTTAAGCAATCTTCCTGCCTTAGCACCCCCAAAGCACTGGGATTCCAGGCTTGAACCACCGGCACCTAGCCAGTTTTGCTCAGTTTTGACCTTTTTTTTTTTTTTTGAGACAGAGTCTCACTCTGTCCCCCAGGCTGGAGTGCAGTGGCACAATCTCAGCTCACTGCAACGTCCCCCTCCCAGGTTCAAGCGATTCTTCTGCCTCAGCCTCCCGAGTAGCTAGGATTACAGGTGTGTGCCACCACACCTGGCTAATTTTTGTATTTTTAGTAGAGACGGGGTTTCACCATGTTGTCCAGGCTGGTCTCTAACTCCTGACCTCAGGTGATCCACCCACCTCAGCCTCCCAAACTGCAGGGATTACAGGCGTGAACCACCGCACCTGGCCTGAGTTCTGATTTTAAAGGCTCACATCCTCACTAACTTCAAGAAGCTTCCTCCTCCTCTCCTTCCCTGCCAGCCTCTCCCTCTCCTGCATCCCTGCATGACCCCTGGTTTCCTCTACTTGGGTTAGAATGTTACAGCTTGTTCTGTTGCTGTTCCAACTGAGAGTGAGACAAGGAGACATAAGGGATAGACCTCTGGCCCATCTCTGAGTCTCAGTTTTCCTGTCTGCAAATTACAAGTGATAACCTTTACCTTGCCCCACCCCACTCACATGATTGCTTTTGTATTTGTGAACTGTTAATGTGAACTGCAGATGTGAGAGACTGATGCCTTTATTAGTATTTCTTTTCTACGACTATAATTGATCTCCCTGTGTCTGTATCTCTAACACTCAAGACATGACACAAGGTCAATGTTCAATACTCGGTGGGCCAGGCACTGTGGCTCATGCCTGTAATCCCAGCACTTTGGGAGACCGAGGCAGGCAGATCACCTGAGGACGGGAGTTCCAGACTAGCCTGACCAACATGGTGAAACCTCATCTCTACTAAAAATACAAAAATTAGCCGGGCATGGTGGGCACCTGTAATCCCAGCTACTCAGGAGGCTGAGGCAGGAGAATCGCTTGAACCTGGGAGACAGAGGTTGCAGTGAGCTGAGATTATGCCGCTGCACTCCAGCCTGGGCGACAGAGCAAGACTCTGTCTCTCAAAATAAATAAATAAATAAATAAATAAATAAATAAATAAAAAAGACCTGGCTTATTGATTGACCCTAAGTGATGAAGACAAAGAGATTTTCCCAAAGGCCCTGGGAGACAGTAGAGGTTCAAGGAAGCTGGGAGTAAGGTGGGCCAGGAACATATAGGAAAGAGAATTGCCATGTATTCGCGTGCCAATCATGTCATATACTTTCATGGATTTAATTTTCATTACTATCCTATGGAGTAGGTAGTATTCACCTCATTCCACAGATGAGGAAACAGAGACTGGGAGCAATTAGGCAACTTGCCCAAGATCACGCAGCTAGTAGCTGCCCTCTGTACAATGTGGCATGTCCTCCCCTCAGTGCCACTTCCTCACAAGGGATTTGTATCCCTGGCCTTGAACTGTGTCCTCATCTTCATCTGAACTGAAAACCTATTTACTTATTTACCTGTCTGCCTCTTTACTAAATAAGCAATACATTCCCCGCACCTCCCCAAACACTGCCACTTGTGATAAGGCAGTCAAAGACTGGGTAGTCAATTTTTGTGATGTTCATACAGGAAAAACGATATGCTGGAGGGTCTCTGAAGCTGACTGGGTTTCTATGGCCTGAGGATAATGAGCCAGCAGCTGCCTCCTTCATCACATGTCCACAATTAGCAGGCACTTCTGCCGCTTGTCTTTCTCAGGTCAGGAAATAGGCCACGGGAAAGGCTGTCAGCTGGAGGGGTGGGCTGGCAGGAACGGCGTGTGCCTTCCAGCCAGAAGGCTGGGAAAAGAGGGGCTTTGTTTATACCTGGTCTGCTTCAGCCCTCTCTGTGGACAGTGGAATAATAGGGAGAAAGAGGGAGGGGGAAAGAGATCCCTCCTTTGTTAGAGAAGATGATAAAAGAGGGAGAAAGAGATGGATAGGAGGTGGGAGGAACAAGTTGAAAGAACAGAAAGAAACTGTCTTTATAACAGGCCACTTTTTTACAGCAATGTATTCATCATCTCACTCACTCCTCCCACCTGTTCTTGGTAGGAAGCCACTGTTGTTTTCCTTATCTGACAACAAGGAGTCTGAGAATTAGAGAGGTTAAGTGAGCAGAGGTGAAGCGACTTGCCCAGACTCAGATACTGTTAGTTGGATTAAAGCAGAGGAGGTCGAAGACACTTGTAAAGGAAGAAAAAGGTATAATCAGGAGAAAAAAAAAAAAAAAAGCCAAGTGAAAGAGAAAAGGGGGAAGAAATGAGAGGCAGAGCTGTGTGTGGACTTTGCAGACAGCCAAACCCAGGTCTAAACCCAGTTTCCGCTGATACAGCCACATGACTGTGTGAGTTATGCTGTCCCTCATATTCTCATTTATAAATTGGAGATGTTATTTACCCAACTGGTTATTGTGAGGATTAAAGATGATATCAGTAAAGCTCCTAGCATAGTGTCTGGCATATAGTAGTTGCCCCAAAGATATTAGGAATCCCAAGGAGAAAGTGCAAGGGACACAGGGGAAAGGCTCCGAAAGAAGGGAAAGAGGAAGGCAGACAGACAAGAGAAGTGGGAGAGGGCCAGGGACTGATGGAAAGTGCCACTTTTGCTTCTAAGGGCTGCCACCAAGTTGACCAAGATTCCTCGGGTAGAAAGCAGCCTTTTTGAAACAGGAGGGCCTTTGCTGTGTCTCTTGGGACAACCAAGTTCTGTTCATCACAGAAAGTGTCGCTAAGGGTCTCAAGATACAAAATAGACAAGAACATTGCACACCTCAGATGTAGTTTTCCCTGGGCCTTTTGTTGGGTTTGTGGAGGGAGGGTGAGATCTGTTGGATCATTTCAGTGGAATTCAGGGAGGGGAAACCCCACTAAGTGGAAATAAACCAGTGTGGCTATGGGTGGAAAGGGCAAAGAAGACTTATTCAGTGTGAATCTTGAGGTGCCTCCTAGAGCCCAGACTGGAGCTGGCCAGCCTAGGGGGAATGAGAGGCAGGGGAAAGAGGAGGAAAATCCCTGTGAAAAAGTCCAAAACTTGGGTTTCTCATACTGGTGCTTTTCCTTATCTTGGGCAAGCTAGCTTACTTCTGTAAGCCAGTGTTTGCATTAGTGAAGTGGAGAGGATCTGACTGACACTTCTTCCCCAGGGGCAACATGAAGATCAAATAAAATAATCTATGTGAAAAGTGCTTTGGAAACTGTGAAGTGCTGTGGACACACATTTATGCATTTGTTCTGTCAGCAAACACTAATGACCCCCTTTGTGTCAGGCACAGGGCTATACATTTCACATACATCGTCTTGCCTGATCCTTGAAATAACTCTATGAGGTAGGTAAAATTATCCCTTTTTTACAAACCAGGAAATTGATTTGTAAAGAGAATAAGTGACTTAGCCTGGAATTAAACAGCTGGGCAGTGGTACAGCTAGGATCAGTCTGACTGAAAGACCAGTGCAGGAAACTCCTGCCCTGTGCCATCTCCTTGAAGCAGAATCCCCTGTCCATGGAACTGGGCCTCTTTGCTTCACTCCTGAGCACGGGAAATATTAATCCAGAGTGCTTGGGCTGAGGGCACAGAAGGGTTCCAGCAGAAGGGATGGGAAAAGACCTTATCCGTATCTCTCCTCTTTCCAGGGTTTGATTTCTTTGAAGCCAGTGCGAAGGAGAACATCAGTGTAAGGCAGGCCTTCGAGCGCCTGGTGGATGCCATTTGCGACAAGATGTCTGATTCGCTGGACACAGACCCCTCGATGCTGGGCTCCTCCAAGAACACGCGTCTCTCGGACACCCCACCGCTGCTGCAGCAGAACTGCTCATGCTAGGCAAGGCCCACCTTCCTGACCTCCCCTCGTTGTGGCCCCACATCCAGTCTGCTTCTCCCTGTTACACACTGTCCACTCTCAGCCCCGACCAAGATGAGCTGCTGCTATTCTTTGCCTGCCCCCAGGGTTCTCTGCAGATGTTCCCAGTAATAGATACTCAGCACTAGACTAACAGAACAGGTCACTACATGGGTGGAGATTCACTTTGCAAAAGAAGACTCTGTTTTATGAAGGGGATTCACTACAGGGACTTAAAAGCAGTCTCTTCTCTGCCTTTAAAATGAGAGTTCCTCCATTTACCAAAATTTGACACACCCACATTCTTCAGGGGCATGCCAATTGCGTAAAGTGAGGCTCGCCTGCATAGCTAATCCTATTAAAGACAACTTCCCAAAGCACAACGTGCTTGTTTCCTATCGGGCTCCCTGTGGGGCTTTCTCTCACTACAAGTCAAGCTTGGGCTCTCAAAGCCCTGTGCCTGTTACCACGGATGCCCACAGGGCCTGGGCAGTTGCTGTGGTGACAGGCAGAGCTAATCTTCAGAGAGCTCAGACTCTCTAATGATGCTGAAGGAGCAAAGGCTGAGTCAGAAACACACTTAAGAGAAAATGATTATCCCCTACAGAATGTCAGAGGTTCCTGCTATAGGAAAGAGCAGGCACGTATGCTCAAGAAAGACAAACAGAGAAAAAAAGAAACAGGCAAGATCAAGACACAGATCATGAGTTTCTGATTTTGCTGCTTTCCAATTGGTTCTTAACTGTGGGAACTTAGTAAAATTGGCGATTGGTTCTTAGACTTCTAGAACCTGAGGATTTTAGAGTTGACGGGATTCCCAAATTTACCTAGTTTGACTAGTCAATTCTAACCTTCCTTTTTCTGACAAGTGACTATCAAGCCTAACAACCAAATCTCTTTCTTCTAAAGCACACCTTCTAGGCAGGGACAAGAGCTCATTTTCCACACCATCTTGGTTAACTCTCATAGAAAGTTTTCCTTGCTTCAAGCTCAAATCTGCCTCCTGGAAATTCTTCTTCTTCCCTCCCTGTTGGTACCAGCTCTGCTGTCAGAGACTTCACAGTCTCTGCTCTCTCTGCCCTGTGACACCCTCGGACTATTTGAGAACACGAATCATGACTCCTGGGACTTGCCTTTTCTCTAGGTCAATACCTCTATAATTCCATCGGCTGTTCTTCATAGGCTCTTCTCCCCATCCTGCCCCTTTCCTGCAATCTATCTTTTAATTGCTCTTGAGCAGTCTAACTGAGAAGTGTGATTTGAAGCAAAATAAATCTAAGGTGGTATGACCCTGAAAAAATTGAGAAAATTGAACTAAAAGATCCCGATCCCAACCCCGTTCTCCTGGGAGTGAAACCTTAGTTTCTACCAGAGAGCGTGGGAAACCACTTCTGGTGGAAGCCCCTTAATTAAACACCTGAGGAAAAAAAGAAAAGAAACTCAGAGACCAGAATGAATTCGCTCATTATTCTAGCTTGCTTGGCCACAGGGACATATTTGGTTTGGGCTGAAATAATGACATAGAACTGGCAATGATTCCAGAAAATCTTTCTTCTATATCATGGTCTGAATCCTCAGCCACCTCAAAAGTCAGCGGGCAGGGGGAGTCTCTCCCCAGTTTCTCTTCATTTCAAATGAGGCTCATTGTCCTAGAAAAGTACATTAGCTAGCAACTAGTCCAATGACTAAATAAAAGGACCATCCAGGGCACTGTGGCTCACACCTGTAATCCCAGCACTTTGGAAAGCCAAGGCAGGAGGAACACTTGAGGCCAGGAGTTCAAGACCAGCCTGAGCAATATGGTCAAATTCCATCCCTACAAAAAAAAAAAAAAAGCCACATGTGGTGGTGCACACCTATAGCCTCAGCTACTTGGGAGGCTGAGGCAGGAGAATTGCTTGCACCCAGGAATTTGAGGTTGCAGTGAGTTGTAATCATGCCACTGCATTCCAGTCTGGGTGACAGAGTAAGACCCTCTCTCTCTTTATCTCTCTCTCTCTTTCTCTCTCTCTCTCTCTCTTTTTTTTTTTTTAAAGGAGTCAGCTCTACAAAGATGCTGCTTTCTTTGATGCAATGCAGAGAACAGAGCTTTGGACTTGGAATCAGGAGACCTAGACTCTGTCATTAAATCAACTGTGACTCTGGACCAGTTACTCCTCATTTTTGAGTCTTGATTTCCTACTTATAAAATGAGGGAGCTTATTTGGATGATCTTTAAGGTCCCTTTTGGCACTAATAACTTGGTGACTCTTTTTTCTTACCTTCACCATTTCAGTTGATCACCAAACAAACCTGAGAGATCAGGATCGGTATCCCAGTGTTGTCTTGGCCAACTCTGATGTCATGCTTACTCTGTACTAGACATTGTTCCAAGCATTTTACATGCATTAACTCATTTATCTTCCCAACATCTTGTGAGGGAGGCACTACAGTGAGCCTCATTTGAAGATGAGGAAACAAAGGTACAAAGAGGTTCTAGCTTGACCTCTAAGGTCACATAGGAAGTAAGTGGTAGAGCTGTAGTTCACATCCAGGCAGTAGGTTCCAAGGTCTGTGTTCTTAACCACGTTCTGGGCTGCATCTTTTATAGACAAACTATGATCCAGAGGGATTACGAGAATTGGATCACATACCAAGAGAGTGTTAAAGCCACATTAGGATTCAATTCCAAGGCCATCAGATTCCAAGTCCACTGGAGAAAAGATGTATATCTCTAATCTGTTAACACATTGCTCAACTACTCAGACTAATCCGAGGTGATGGATGTCTCATGCTCAGGAAAGGCGAGTCAGTCTCTGAGGCAACAGATCCCATGGGCCTGGGTAGAAAATGCCCAATGCTTCCCAGTCCCAAGTGCTGGCTTTCCCTGTACCTGCCTCTGCCAGGCAACACTTAGCAGGCTCCCAAGCAGCAGGAGCCTCCATGCTCCACTTTGAACAGCCTCCATGCTCCAGCAAGGGGGCATTTGTGAAGAGTGACTTGATTAACTTTTCTGACCATGGGTATAATACGGTTGCTTCAGAGGGCAGTGATTCTGGGTGTGATTTTTACACTGTAACATTGTATACAGTGTCACAGATAATTACTGGTTTTTTTCTGGTCATTAACACTCATCTACTTTAGTACTAGGATTTCAGACCAAGGTTCTCATGACCCCTGGGTATTTTAGTATCTGTATCCAATAATCTTTTCTCTCCTACTGAATATTCAGGCAAAGATCAAATTGTTTTTTTTAAAACTGTCAAATTCTGTAAAACTCAGGAGCCAGTTCAAGGAAACAGGCGTCTTCACAATAGATGGAATCAAGAGTTAAATGTTATAGTGGCAAGCTCATCTACTGGGCAACAGACAACCAGACCTACTTGTGAGATGGCAGCTCCCCAGCCCTGCTTTGTGACCTCATTTCTGTCGAATGAAAGGCAGCAGCTTCCAGCTGATTGCAGCATAGTGGTCATCAATCACAGTAATAGCGCAATTAGCCACCAAGGTTCAAGCTGCATAATATGTGTTAGTGGCAACTTGTCCTGGATTTAATCTTCCTAAACAATCCAAATAAAATATTTTAAAACTCTTGACTTCTGGCTGGGCGCAGCAGCTCACACCTGTAATTCCAGCACTTTGGGAGGCTGAGGTGGGCAGATCACCTAGTTCAAGACCAGCCTGGGCAACATGGTGAAGCCCCATCTCTACTAAAAATACAAAAATTATCCAGGCGTGGTGGCGGGCACCTGAAATCCCTACTCAGGAGGCTGAGGCAGAGAATTGCTTGAACCTGGGAGGCGGAGGTTGCAGTGAGCCGAGATCGTGCCACTGCACTTCAGCCTGGGTGACACATCAAGACTCCATCTCAAAACAAAACAAACAACAACAACAACAACAAAACCTCTTGACTACTAAAGAGGCAAAAGTAGGCCAAAAGTGTGATACAGTATTGTGTTTGTTTACAACATCTATTTTAAATGCATGTGTATCTGTAAATACAAAGTGATTCGTGACTTATTGTCTCCTCAGTCTGTAGCATTATTAACTTCTAGGAGCAGCAGTCGGGTATAGTGTACTGAATGGTCACAGACTCATTGATCATCAGATCTGGAAAGGAGCTTAGAGAAGATCTGTTCCAGCCTCCTATCTTATAGAAGGGAAGGTTGACGTCCAAGGATTGGAAGGAAATCTCCTAATTATTCTGAGAGTACTGCAGTGATGGCGCCAGGACTAGGTCCTGGATCACCTCTAAGAAGACACTTAGCTATTTGAGTATGGACTAGGGCCTAGCATTATTAAGCACTAGATAAATACAGGTGAAAAGAAATGATCCCTGCCTGCAAGGTCCTTATGGTCTAACGGAGGTGCTGTTTCTAAAATATTGTTATCCCAATTTGGTAGTCAAGGAAATGGCCCTGGAAAAGTTAACATGCTCAAGTCACCCACTAATATCATTTGAACCCTCCTCTCTCTGACTCATGCTCTTTTAAATTTTTTTCTTCAGATTGTCTTAGAAGGGTAGATGGGATATACCCTCTGGTAGTACCAGGTGCCCAAGGATTCTTAGAGTTAAATAACCTCAGTTAATTAAATAACCACAATTGCTTGGTGACCGAAGCCTTATAACATCCGCAGAATAAGACCATTCTCCAGACCTGACTCCCCAACTCTTATCACCTGCTCCTGCTGCCACTAAGCTCCTTGCTTGGATATCAAGTATATCCAGGAAGGCTAAGAAGTATATGAGGAATGTTTGTTTGACTTTGTTTGCCAACAGTTTGGGGGAAGGGAAAAGAACTACAATAATCAGTGTCCTGGGATCTCATTGATTTCAGATTCCCCGTCCCAAGCCTACACCCAATTACCTGCCATAGTTGGGGAATCAAGTAGCATCCTGTGGCTGGAAGTAGATGCAAAACACTAGTCCATGAGCTATAAATACTGTTAAATGATGGCTTTTTAAGGTCCTGATCCGTTATATGAAGTAGGCAAAATTCAAATTTATTTATTCATTTATTTTCTCAACAAATGAATATATATTATGTGCCAGGATGCGAGCAGTGGCAAATTAGGCACCGTTCTTGCTTTCATGAAACGTATAGCTTCATGGTTTAGTCTAGACGTTGTCAAATCATCACCCAAATATAATTACAAAGTACTCTAAAGGAAAGGCACATGATGCTATGAGAACATTCACCTGGGAAACCTGAATCACCTTTGAGAAACTGTTTCAGGGGCTCTTGGAAGTCTACTGCTCCCAAATATCTCTGCTGCCCACTGGCCATTGCTTTACATTCCTCAACTCAGCTTTCATCTTTTAGTGCTAACCTTTGATGGCTGATCAAATACAAATGCCCTAAGAAGAGTAAGGATAGGAGAAGGAATATCTGTACCTGTGAAACATTGTTAGGCTGCCTGGCTATGAGTTCATTGTTGTTTTCTGAAGGATATAACCAACCACTCCAAAACTTATAGGCTTAAAACAACAAACATGTATCATTTCTTATGATTCTGTGGGTTGGCTGGGTGGTTCTTCTGGCTGAGGCAGGATGGTCTAGGATAGCTACATCCATATGTCTGGGGTCCCAGCTGAGATGACTGGGGCTGTTGAGGCCTTTCTCCCTGTGGTGTCATCCTCCAGAAGGCTGCCCAGATTTGTCCATATGGTGGCAGGAGTTTCCTCAAAGCAAGAGAGGGCAAGACCCAACACAGAAGCACTTTTCAAGCTCTGTTTTCATCACATTTGCAAATGTCTCACTGATGAACACAAGTTCCCTGGCCAAGCCCAGTTTTAAGAAATGGAGAAATAGGGCTAGGCTCGGTGGCTCACGCCTGTAATCCCAGCGTTTTGGGAGGCTGAGGCAGGCGGATCACTTGAGGTCAGGAGTTCTAGACCAGCATGACCAACATGGTGAAACCCCATCTCTACTAAAAATACAAAAATTAGCTAGGCGTGGTGGCGGGCATCTGTAATCGCAGCTACTTGGGAGGCTAAAGCACAAGAATTGCTTGAACCCAGGGGGAGGAGGTTGCAATGAGCCCAAATCATGCCACTGCACTTCAGCCTGAGTGATAGAGCCAGACTCAGTCTCAAAAAAAAAAAGAAAAAAAATGTTGGGGGAATAGATGCCATCTCCTTATGGAAGGAGCTACAAAATACAGTGACCAGTTTTTCAATCTACCACAGGAAGCACCCTCAGTTCTCTGAAACTATGTCTGGTAGATGTCCTGGGGTCTTAAAACGTGGCTCTGATGGTATCACCAAAGACAAGTGGCAAAATCGTTTAGGGCAGGGCAGTCTTATCATTTGTTTAGTAGTTATCCGAAGGATTTACTTTGGAGGAATCAAGACACTTCTAGATGAAGAAGTTTTGATGCTTGTTAAACAGTCCATTTGGATACTTCTTAGCTATCCCCAAGGGACGAATCTGACTTCTCATTTCACAGGATTCACCATAGATAATGGTTGTAATTCCTACCTGAAGTTACTGGCCAGAAGCCCAGCAGAAAGATTCAGTATATGCAGAAAAGATGGCTCCAAAAACAGTTGGGCCTTCTGTTCTAACTGTACTTCCTTCCTTGACGTACTCGTCTAGTCCCGAGGCTTTAGATGTCAAGTCTTTGATAATAACATGTGTACCTAAGTGCCTACTGGACATTTTCATGTCTCAAACTTAACATGTCCAAATTGAAACTTGTGATTCTGCCCCCAAAACTTGTTTGAACCCCAGTCTTCACAGAAAACTAGGTGCCATCCTTAATTCTTTGATTTTTCTCTTTTTCTTAGCCTCCTTGTCTAATCTAGCAGCAGATCCTAGAGTTTTACTTCTAAATATATCTCAAATCTGATCATTTTTCTCCATTTTCATTGCCGTGACCTTGGTCCAGGCCACCATTGTTTTCTGCCCTAGAGAGCTACCACAGAGTTCCTAACGTTTCCCTACTCACATAATTACTCCCCATTAGTCCATTTCTCTCACAGGAGCAACTCTCTCTATATATATTATTTATGTATTTATTTTTTGTAGAGACAAAGTCTTGCTATGTTGCCCAAGCTGGTTTCAAATTCTTGCCTCAAGCGATCCTCTTGCCTTGGCCTCCTGAGTCACTCAGATTGTTTGTATGAGCCACCTCAATGGCAATCTCTTAAAAATCTAAATAAATGAACAGCTCAGTAACACTGAGGTTTACTTCAATACCCCATACAAAAACAATCCAAACCTTGGCAAGGTGGTGAAACCCTGTCTCTACAAAAAATACAAAAAATTAACTGGGCATGGTAGCCTGCACCTATAGTCTCAACTACTTGGGAGGCTGAGGTGGGAGGATCGCTTGAGCCCTGGAGGTCAAGAATACAGTGAGCCATATCCATGATTGTACTCCTGTGCCACTCCAGCCTGGGTGACAGAGCAAGACCCTGTCCCCCTCTCAAAAGAAATGAAGAAAAAAAAAGAAGAAAAGGAAAGAAAGAAACAAAGAGAATTCAGAGACTTCCATTATTAATAGTACCTATTTTATTGATTCTGTTTCTAGCCTGAATCTGCTTCTAACTTGCTATAGGATCTCTGGTAAATCATTTCCTGTAATAAGCAACTCTCACCTCTCTCCTTGTTCCTTCCAGAAATAGTAGTCTCTTCTTTAGTAGTACTACTACTCCCTTACCCAAACCAGGTGATTCTAGCGAAGACTGTCATTAAAGGGAGCATGTGATCAAGTAGAGCCCATCAGAATCCTTCCCTAAGATTTTTATATAAGCTGGACCTATTCTTTTTCCACTTGAGTGGCAAATATGTGAAGATATGAGGTCTAAAACTGTGATGGTTTATTGTCCACTCCTGTGTAGATTCTGGTCTATAGTAAGAGGAAACAAGGCCATTAGGCAGCGGGCAGCAGAGACAGGTGAGAAAGAGTGTGACCTCTGGTTTTCCAGACCCTGATTCTGGTTTCTGGAGGCTTGGCTGATCACCTCTTCCTTTGATTCTGTTAGAAAGCTCAGCGTATCTTTCTAATAAAACCCCCCTTTGCTTTGCATGTTGGAGTTAGGTTCTTATCACTTGCAACCAAAAATATATTGTCTCCTCTTTGGTTCTCAGTTTTCTCATTTATATGTCCTTCTAGCTCCAAAGTATAGAAATTCTAATTAAAAAAAAAAAAAAACTGGGTCTTTCCGAAAATCCCACTGATATAGACTTTCTGATCCAGACTGTATAATCTGGAAAAGAAGCCTACCCTCATCTCCATCCTCTCTTCCTGTACCTGAAGGAACGAAGAAGAGGGATTTCTCAAGGTGAGAAGCAGTTCTCCATGGACACTGATGACAGTACAGGCAAAGGTTCCTATGACTAGGGATCACTGTCCACACAGAGTCTGGCTTCCCAGGTTTCCAGCAGGTAGACAAAACAGCTAACTCCACTGCCACTCCTTTCTCCACATCCGTTCCTATTTCTCAGCCATCTCAGTGACATCCACCATCTTGAGAGTCAACTACTGACTGGACTGAGTTGTGTGCTTCTGTTTACTTCTCTTCTGTCTTTTTCAAGTGGCCAAATAGCAAACGCTTAAATAGGAAATCTCTGGGAGACGTGAATAAAAGACTTTGGTTGGTAGAAAATCATGTCACAGAAAGACTAATAGACAGCAAAGTAAGTCAGCAAGTCCCTGAGCAGTAGGATTAGGATTCCTGTCTCCTTTCAGATTCGCATGCATCTCTTTCTGGGGTTAACAGTGGACTGGGATAAAGCTAAGAGGCTGTGTAGCTTGGGTTAAGTCATTCTTATCTCTGGGCTTCAGGAGCTTAGACCAGATAGTTTCTAGGGGCTCTCTTGGTGCTGATGCCTTGGGGTTCTGTGGCTGTTTTCTGTAAGAGCTGCAAGGGGCAAACAGGATTTTGGCAGCAATCCTTTCATTACTAAAGCTTCCTTTCTTCTCGGGTGCAGTGAAAAGAGCCAAGGCTGTGTGACCGCCTCATCACTTAGCCAGGTGTATGGTCCTGGTTTCTGAGGCTGCCAAAAAGTATCTTAGCAATTTGTGTCTGGATGGTCCATGCCTGACTATCCTAGGCTAGGGGTTCCTAAAGAGTAACAAGAAGAAGAAGAGAAACAAGAATCTCTGACACTTGTTGAGAATAGAGCATAGTCCCATTTGTTTGAGAAGAGACACCAAGCAGCCATGTTTATGTGCCAGAAATGCATTCTACCTCAAGGAGGACTAAATTAATGGACCAGTGTGTGCAAGGCTGAGCTGGGCAAGATCTTTCTGAGGACAAACTCTGCCATGCAGCTAGGAGCCTGGAAACTAAAAGGACTGCATGTAGTAAACTATCT